GTTTTTTTTTTTTAGTCCCAGTGGAAACTGCAATGTTATTTCTACAGATCTTGATAGTGGTTATCGGGACTCTTAAAGCCTTAATTAAGGCCTCTTCTGTTTTAGCTCCTAAACTGTGGATCCAGCTACCTCTTCATCTCAGACAAGCTTCAACTCTTGGTGTGCTTTTTTCTTTTTTCTTCTCATCTTAAAACACAGTTTTACTCACTGGCTTCTAATATACGAGAGATGACATTTCTAGTATAATTTTAACAGTTTGATTTTTTGTTTTATCATATTTTTAATAGTTTTTATTTTATTTTTATTTGCTGTTTTCTTTTTCTTTCTTGTTTTATGATATTTTGTATTTTCTTTTATTGGTTTTGTGTGCAACACTTGGACTGTTGTTTTTAGATGTGCTTCTTATAAATTAGATTTAATTTGGACATTTTTGTACAATTTACAATTTTCTCGTACTCATATTTGATCATCACATTGACTTGACACAAAGTCAACACAAGTAACACTTGGCAATGTTGTCCTTTGAGAAAGAAGTTAAATCATCCGTGAGCAATATATAGCCTGAAGTAGCCCTTAGATTATCTCCTTCTGGCCACAATGTTTAAACAACTACAATAAAGTAACAATCCAATTGAATATTGAATACATTTATTAGAAAAGCAAAACCAAAGCCTGCATTAAATACCTTTTATGTAGGTTTTAACCACAATAGGTTTGAATATTTCACTGGCAGCTTAGCAAGACCAAATGTACTAGAAGAAGCAGATTACAGAGTATTTCTTGTGAAAATATGAGTTTGACTTACTCTCTAACCAACATTTAAGAGCTTAGATAATGCTCTTAAGCAGTTGCAGACAAAAGTATTTTTTTTCCTTCCATTCAGGTTGTCAGTCATGTCATGAGAAAGGTAAATCTAAAAGAAAAGATGTCCTAATCCTCCACCAAAGGTATTTTGTGTTTTCTTTAATGGAAAAGTACACTCACGGGCCAGTTTATTATAGATACACTTTGCTGGGTTTGACCTCCTTTGGGCTTCAGAACTGCCTTAATTATTCACGTCATACTGTAGATTCATCTATTTCAGATGTCCAACTTTGTTGAGACTGTGTGAACTGTAGATTCAGCATCCTGTTTTTACCTGACAGGAGTGGCACCTGGTGTGGTCTTCTGCTCCTGTCGTCCATCTGCAAGGTTAGAGGTGTTGGGCATTCAGAGGTTTTCTGCAGACCTTAGTTTGTAACTTGCTAGTTTTGAGTAAGTGTTTCCTCTGTGTTATCTCAAACTCATCGGCCCATTTTCACTACATTCAGAATCACTTAAATCCCCATTCTTCCTCATTCTGATGCTCGGTTTGAATTTCAGCCGGTCGTCTTTACCATGTCTACACTCCTAAAGAGATTGAATTTCCGTCATTTCATTGGCAGAGCTGATTGTTCAACAAGCATTTGAACAAGTGCACCTGATAAAGTGGTTGACATGACAACACAGTGCAACAATCTTAACTTTGTTCCAGTTCCTATCGACACTGGTTAAACAGGACTTGGCAAGTTTTTGTGGGGTTTTTTTTTTTTCTGCCAAGCATGAAATGAGTCAGTAAAGGTGCCAGCACAGCCAATGAATGGTTCTTGGATCTGATATGTGCTTTCTTATCTCACCAGTTTGAAAGTTTTGTAAGCTCAATCATCCAGGTAGATAACGACAAAAAAGGTTAAATCTTGTCATCTGGACCCGTTTCTTTATGTGTGAACATTTCGTCCCCCATCCGGAAGACGTCATCAGTCTGTGGCCTGCCTTAAGCCAACCTCCTATCGAAATCTCAGAAGCAGGCTCTTAACACATACAAACAGGGTCCATCCATCCAAAACAACTAATCATCATGTATAACAATCAAATGTTTTAGGCCAGATGGCCGACTTGCTACTCACAGAAACAGTCTGGGAACAACAAAGGCCAAAATGGTTCAGAAAAAAGGTTTGTAAACTCAATCATCCAGTAAATTCATACAAAGTAGATACCTTAGATTTAATTTGGATTTTTTTTTTTTTTTTTTTTTTTACAATTTACATTTCTCTTATATAAATTTGATCAACGTATCGATTTGTAGCACACATCTACCTATGGGACAGATCTGGTGGGCAGGCTGCAGACTGACAAAGTCTTCCGGATGGGAACTTTTTTGTTGCTCTCCTGGTCCTCATCAAGGGTGGCATGAGTGCCAGGCCTGGCCCCGCTCTCCCCCTCATAAAAATAAAGCACATTATTTCTTATAGCCTGTCTAGCCTACATATCAGTTTCCTATTGCCCACTTGAAGGGGTGCATGCCCTCCGCCAGGTGCAGGGCATTTAGCTTCTGCTGAGGTCTGACACATGTTGTGAAAGAAGGGGAAGGTGAGGGGGCATGGGGAGTGCTCTGAGACCTTCAGCCACAGTGGATGGAGCAGAGAATCTTTTTAAAGGTGAAACGGATTAAAACATATCTGAGCTCCACTATGTCTCAGGAACGTCTCACTGGCCATGCCGTCATCAGTATCAGCCATACAGCTGCTGAGCAGATTTCATATAATGACATTATTGATGACTTTGCATCAAGGCAAGATGGGTCAATATTTAGATGGTAGTTGTGCACTTTAATCTGCATTTTCTCCTTTGAAGTGCAATAGTGTAAATTGTCTTATTCAGAAAAGGTTCAGACTATTTATTTTCTACAGTATTTATTTTTTGTATTTGTATACTTTTACATTCATTTTATTCAGTATGTATGTGTCTTGTTCTGTGTTTATTCTAGTGTCTTCAATTGAATTTAAAAAAATATATATATTAAAAGAAATTTGAGTGTCTGTGATGGTCCATGACAATCTAACTAATATGTCATAGCGGAGCGTGTACGCACCCCCGGCAGTGGGGTGGGGGCGTTGCGTGAAGCGGGGGATGGGGAGCCAGAAGTTTGCCCTGGGCACCAAACAGGCTAGGACCGCCCCTGATCTCAGTACTGCTTTCAGTGCAGGCAATCACACTGTTCTGAAACCCCAGTTCAACAAAAAGGTGTGATGCTGTTGTAAATGCTAACAAAAATGGAATGCAGTAGTTTTCAAATATCAGAAATCCATATTTTATTTCACAATAAACACATCAAATGTTGGATAATAAAAATGTGCAATTTTTCTGACAAACCATGGCAACAAACCATGTCAAAAAGCCGGGACAGGGGCAACAAAAAGAAATAGCAGTAGAAGCATTTTGTAATATATCAGGCTACATTGCAATAATAATATGCCAGTAAGAAAATTATAATTTTAGATAGGCTGAATCTTACAAAAGTAAAGATGGGCAGAGGTTCAGCAATCTGTGAAAAACTGCTTCTTCGCTGCATGGAAGATTTGAATGTGTAGACCAGAGGGAAGGTGTAAAGGTTTACAGGGAGACAAGTTCTGTTAACAGGGTGGAAAATTTCCATGGATGGACTGGTGGGTAAGGGATCTTGTAATCGATCCTTGCATGAAGCCAGTGGAGCGAGTGTAGAATCAGTATTATTCGTTTATACTTCTGCACGCTCATCAGTATCCAAGCAGGTGAGTTCTGGATGTACTGCAGCCACTGCAGGCTTTTGATGGAGATCCTGTTGAGAAGAGTGATGCAGTTATGAAGTCAAGAGGAGACGAAGGACAGTTTCTCTGCAATGCAAAGATGGAGGGGAGTACAGGACAAAGCTTAGAGTTTGTATTGAAATGATCCAGATGGCTGTTTGTCCTGAGTCTGGGTCTGCTGGAGGTTTCTTCCTCATGAGGGAGTTTTTCCTTTCCACTGTTGCCTTTATGCTTGCTCAAGACGAGAGACTGCGATGAAGTTTAACTCAAAGCAGTCTGCTCCTCAGATAAATAATTTGATTAATTTACTTTTTATGCATATGAATGTTTCTGTTCAGTGCCCTGAGATGAGTTCTGTTGTGACTTGGCACAATATAAATCAACTGAATGGAATCCTTCAAAGCAAATAGTAATAAACCTCACACAAAGGTTTGGGACTGATGAGGAAAGGGGAATGTTGTGAGCAAAAAAAGGTAAAGCTGGTTGGTGAAAATTGAAGTCTGGTCAAGGGTTCCGACAAGAATGTCCTGTTTTATACAGATGGAGAAAGTTGTGCTTCATTCACGCCTTCATCACCTCCAGACAGTTGGTGTGAATCGTAGAGGGCGATGAAGAGAATAAAAAATTTAACTAGTGGAGAAAAACATGTTATGCAGCAAAGTGATATCTAAACGTGGACACATTTTTAGTATTGGTTCATTTTTGACCATCTTTTCTTGACCAGACTAGCGGAAAGTTAAACAAACATTTTTACATAGAATCCATATTTAAAATGTGGATGCATTATTAGACAGAAACGTACAAACTCATTTAAAATAAGTTTAAAAGGTTGCTTAAAGAGGTGTTCAGGTTATTTTTTTCTATTACTGTACTGTAAATGACAATTCCAGATGTAAACTAAAAAAAACACAAACATCCTGCCTCAGTCTGAACATTCACCTCAGACAAAACGCCCGTCTGTGATGAAGCTGTCAGGGTTATACTGGCATGAAGCTCAACTAAAAAACCATTTCATCACAAGAAAGCCATTCAAACAACTTTGTGCTGTAAGTCTATAAAATGTATTTTTGCTTTAGCTCCAGAAAATTAGCATGAAGCAACCTCAAAGGATAGACAGCACTTTGTTACACAATTAAACAGATCAAATAACAAATGTCACCACAAAATGTGCAAACAATCTAACAATATAGATTAAATTTTTGCTAAAACAATGATTTGTTCAAATCATTTATCAACGGACTTTACTGATTCTGCTGCTGAGTTTCTCAGCGATATACAAATTTAAATTATGCTGTCACACAGCACTACTGTGTCGTCCGGCCTCCTTTTAATCTTGTAAACATGCAAACAGTTTTTTGTGTTCATTTGACATAAATCCATGTTTTAACAGTCAACATGATGCCAGCATCCGCTTGTTTATATTACCGGTACAGGCCAATTCATCCACTCAAGGTTGATACAGGAGGTAAGGTTGTGGAGTTTTTTGGTGATTATTAGTCGTTCATGTTTTAACTCTTGTCTTTCAGTTTAGCTTTAGATGGTTCCCACATGAACCGATACGGTTCCTGTGAAACTAACAGATCCAAGTCAAGTGATCGCTGCGCTTTAAGACTGTGAACACTCCTGTAGCCGAGCAGTTCCATGGCCCCCCTACAAATGGCCTGAACACGTTTGACCTTGGAGAATGGCAGCATGGTGCGCCAAGCTTGGGAAACAAGGGTAGCATTTCGAGAGATTATTTGAAAAGCCTGTTTCCTCGTGCCTTTCCCCTTTCCATGAGTCTGCTTGTAGATCCAATCCTTCATCTCCTTGGTCATCTTTAAACCAACGAACTCATATATACTGCTGACCTCCTTCAGTGGGTTGCGTGTCACATCCTCATAGCGAACCATTTTGTATCGATTTTTAAGAAATGGCGGAGGTTTCAGGATGGCCGTCTCGTGGATCCGTAAATGGCTGCGGCAGATTTCCTGCATGACTTTATACTGCACCTCATCGGCAGGGATTTTTCCCTGATCCAAGACAACAAAGTTATCTGACAACAATGATTTGGCTGACTCCTCTCTAGACCTCAACACAGCCCGAGGGTCCCGGACCAGATGAACAATGCGGAGGTCCAGTTTGGGGTCTTGCAGAAGAGGGTAAAGGGATTCCAGCTCAAAAACTCTTGTTTCCTTTAACGCCACATGACTGTGTACTCTACAGGAAGCCTGCACCTTCTGCAAGCCCTGAACATTACACTTTTGACGGCACTGGGTCTCGTTTTTGGCTCTGAGGGAACAGGCCGGTGGTGAGCACAGTGCCCGACTTTCAGTCCACATGAACAAGGAGGACACATGAGGGTTTTCAGGCAGATAGGCGTCCATTACTGAGAAGTCACACTGAAATACACTTCGTAGTATATCTCTCACAGCCATTCGGAGGACCCGGGCCCCAGGTTTCTGCACTTGGGTCCACACATGCCAGGCGGGCTCCATTAGATAGAAAACAGACGGGTGCTGACTGAAAACCTGACCCAGGAAGGATGAACCGGATCGCCACGATGACAGCAGCAAGACATGAACTTTTCTTTCCGTTTTGGTAGAGCCGTGATTATGTTGAATGCGCCAGCTCGAGTACAGCAGGACTGACGCTCCCTGCAGAACCAGCAGTAAAATCAGGATCTTTGCATTTACTCTGTAGAGAAGCCTCATGGCTGGGAGGCGGGAGAACGTCTGGCTCGTTTTCTCTTTTGTTGAGCAATCAACTCCTCTACAAGAAAACAACAATAAATAAGTATGTTAAAGGTGTAAAAATGTATATTTTTTTTTTTATTAAAGTGAGGACAAAGTCCCTGTAAACATACTGTGGGCATTCTCATTATCTCATGGCGTCTGAATTATGACAAAATATTAGTGGATGGTTCAGCCTGAAAACAAGAAGAATAGATTAACATAAAATGATTATAAATTAAAGGCAATCCTTGAAGGACTTCATATCATCTGGTGCATTTTTCTCTTATCTCAAAGTAAGTTAAGGTAAATAATTTGTTAATAGACTAATTTCAAACATATTACCTCATTTGTCCTCTCTGGGATTACAACAGGTTAAGCCACGGTTTCATTTTGAGGAACTGATAAATTCTTACAAGTCATACAACAAGAATTCCATCAACATGTTTTATGGGTTGTTGTCTAACGTTTATTACCTGCTGTAGCCATCTTAATTCAAAATAACACCAACCTGTCTACTAAGTTGTCAACGTCAGTTCAATTATTACTCTCTGAGACTTTCTTTAAAACCTGTCTGCTGGTTCGTGGGATATTTTCCAAACAGATTAAAAAAAAAAAACATTGTTCACTTTAACAATTACAATGCCAAAAATGTAGGCAATGTGAAGAGCTCTGAGTGTGTGTTGTGAGTGACTCTCAGCTCTTACAGAATCTAATTTTAGCTCAGTATCTGTAAAACTGACCGAGTTAGAGACATTTTTCTGTAGGCTAAAATCAGTTAGCTGTGGCAGCCATCTTGAATAAATAATCAGTTGTAGAAGTTCGACCAGGGATAACTTTCTAAGTGTTTGAGAGTTCATGAGATATTTTACTGACGCTACACACAAACGCACACGCAGAAACATGAGCCAAAACATTACTGACTTCACCTTCTGTGACCGGCAATAATAAATTTTCTAAGTATTTAGTTCTGTGTTGCTTAAAGAACTTCCTGCCACTTTTACAAGAAGAAAAATGTAATAAACGACAACATCTCTTGACAAAGTTTAAAACAACTGATTGCTACTTATTATGCACACGTTAACGTTTTTAACTTAACGTGAGAAACTACCGAATTAATTCTGAGAAAAATATTTCCCCATGTGACACAACAACACGGGTCTGGGCCTTCAGAACTGATACGAGCGCCAAAAATGGCACGAAGCACCCTGATGCCAGAGTCCAGATGGAAGCGGTGAATCAGAAGACTCAGGCTGGTGAGGCAGAGTGGAGACACCTGAGCTTAATGACCAGCAAGGCCAACAACCTTTGACCCCGTGAGCCTAAAATCAGTAGGGATCATCCTTGACCTATGACCTGTCCAGTGGTGCAGTTTAATATTTGTGTATAAAAGGAGCCTTAATTTAAAGCTTGGACAAGAAATTGTCCACAGACAGTCAGATGAATGGATGGAGAGACGGACATACCACCATCTGTCCTGATCACTTGTGTTGTGAATAGACAATAATCTGATGGACATTTTCAAGCATTTAACCACTACATTTTTGACTTCTTATCTAAATCTATCATCCATTCATTATCTTTACCCATGTCTTCTTTTCCGGGTCTCGGGGGTCTCTGGTGCCCATATCCAAAAGTCTGATTATGCATTTTTAATTCCTTAAATATATTTTATGACATTTCTTGTTGCTCAGCTTTCATAGTTGTGGGATATTTTATAAAGTGATAAGAAAGAATTGCAAATGTAGAAGATATTTCAGTTTCGGTTCAGGTGCAGATTAAATACCTTCAATAACTTTCAACATATCTGATCTATCATATCTTATCTATCATATCTGATCCGATCGTCTTTTTCATTGTGGACCAAAAAAAGAAGCTTTTCTCCAGCTGAGACAAAAATGCACTTTATTTTTATGAGTTAACTGTGCAGACTACAAACTACTAATAATTACTGTACCACTGAATGATTATAGTTCAGTACACAAGAAAAAAAAAAATTAATATGTTTGTTTTTATCTAGTCAAGCCAAAAACATTTGAAAAGGGAATGTTAAAAAAAAAGAAGCAACATTATCTAAATTGATTACTAGTTTAAAACATGTTTCTCAATTAATAAGTTTTGGATAAAGAATAGAGGTACTGTACAGTAGTATTAGTTTGACAGGAAGTAGATTGAACGAGACAGAATCTGCAGGGTGACTAAATTTGATAAAACACCTGTAGCGCTATACCAAGAGGTGCTCATAAACATTTTAACTCTTTGACTTCCCTTCATTTAGCCAAGATAATACAAATATTGACAACAAATGCCTACCTTTAATGTATGTATCGATGGGGCTGCCTCCTAACGGAGTTCTGTTCGGTTCCGGTCCGGTTCTGCCCTCTTCTCCCCGCGGCGCCGGGTGTCTCCGCCCGGTTTGGTGCCCGTCAGGTGGGCGGAGGATGCTGGGTCGGACTCCGGACGTGCGACAGTTCCGGCCCATGAGGACCTCCTCTGAGTCTGGGTTTGTTCGTTGCCTCATGGTTTGGACCACCGGTTCTCTAGGACGCCACCTGAAGGCATTTATCCTTAATGGCAGGATTGTTGACGCAGTAGGTTGAGCTGCCGCCTCTCAGCAAGAAGGTCGCCGGTTCAAATCCCAGACGGGGGGCCTTTCTGGGTGGAGTTTGTTCTCTCCGTGCATGCATGGGTTTTCTCCAGGTACTCTGGTTTCCTCCCACAGACCAACAACATGCATGTTAGGCTGATTGGTAACTCTAAATTGTCCCTAGGTGTGAGAGTGTCTCTCTGTGTCCCTGTGATGGACTTGCGACCTGTCCAGAGCGTCCCCCGCCTCTTGCACAGTGACCCCGTGACCCAGTAAGGATGTAAAGATGATGGAAGGATTATTGTTTCTGTACGTATTTTTTTATTTTTTTACCCACTACTTTGTGCTGTTTTATCCATTTATTCATCGATGTGTTCGGCTCATTACAGCTGCTATGACATTTGGTTTTTGTGACTTTTATATTGTCAAAATATTTACATTTATGTACAATTATTCTTTGGCCTACACTGAAATTGCTTCAATTACTTCGATAACAATATTCTCTTTTAGCTTTTCTGCTACTTTTAGCTTTTTGCTTTTGTACAGTTTAACTTTTAGCTAACCTTTTGCTACTTAGCCATCAATCTGCACCCGCTTCTTCCTTTTCAGGTAACGGGGGTCACCAGTGTCCATGTCCAGCAGTCACTCTGCGAGATGCAGGGGACACCCTGGACATGTCTCCAGTCCATCACAGGGACACATAGAGACAAATGAGACAAACAACCATTCACTGTCTCACTCACACCTAGGGACAATTTAGAGTTACCAATCAGCCTAACATGCATGTTTTTGTTCTGTGGAGTACCCAGAGAAAACCCACACATGCACGGAGAACATGCAAACTCCACCCAGAAAGGCCCCCAGCCGGGATTTGAACTGCTGAGAGGCAGCAGTTCTACCAACTGTGCCACCGTGCTGCTGCTACTTAGCCATTGTTGCTTTTAGATATCTTTTTAGCTTTTTGCTCATTTTAGCTTTGAGCTAGCTAGCCTTTTGATTATTCAGGCCTCTATATACTGTTTTGCTAAATTTAGCTTGAAGCTAGTCTTTTGCTACTTAGCCTTTTGTTAGTTTTAGCAAATCTTTGCTGCTTTCAAATAGCTTTTTTGTTCATTTTAGTGGTTTAGTGGAACTGGTTGATCCACTCTGAGAAGGTGCTATTTAAGAGACTGAGCTGAATACAGCACCTCAGACTGAAGAAGTCTCTCGGACGAGAGACGAAACGTTTCTACATTTTTTGTTGTTTTGCTTTGTTTTGGGTTTTTTTGAATGTCCAGAGGACCAGATTTAACTTTTTTAGATTTTTCTACCTGGATTATTGAGCATGCATCAGGAAATAATTAGACAGTTTTCACAAAAAGGAAATAAAAAATATAACAGCAAGCATCCTGATTAAACAAAAAGGTAAAAAAGATAAAATATTTAAAAGCTAAAATGGATAATTTCTGATCAGACTGACATTTTCATGCTGTTAAAGAAGTCTATTTCTTTATTGATGTCCTTTGAGTCTGATTGTTGAAAATACATCAAATCTGTAAATTGGCCTTTATTTCTGCAATAATTTTGAATTACACTAGGGGGAGCTATACTCACAGTAATGACAGTTTTTTAGCAGCTACAATGAAACAGAAACCTCCACCTGACTCTGTTGGGGGTGTTGATAAGTGCATAAATCAGTTGCATTCACGTCTATACACCAGCTTGTACATGTTTAAGAAAAACACAACATTTATGTATTTTTATTTAGTATTTTTTGTAGCTACAAAACTTGTGACAAAATTAAAAGTTCATTCTGATCACCTCAACAAAGTGACACCAAGACAAAGTGTCTTTCAGAGTTTTTAACTCAACTTATAACTTGTCGTGTGCTGACTCTTAGCTTTAACTTAGAAGAACAGTTTTAGTGCCCGTGACGCTAAAACTTCAGGCCCGAAGTGTTCAACAAAGCTGGTTGGTTGGTTTAATAACATAAATGTGCCTTCATGTCACTGATTCATCCATTCAACCTTTATTTATACAGGTTGGTCTCATTGAGTCACAAGGACTCATTTACAAGAGAAACCTGTTTTTTACAGACAACAAATAGAGTACTGATATACAACAATAAAAAGCAATTAAAATTAAAAGTAATGTTGTAATAATAAATCAAGGTGCCATCTAAAACCAGGTAAAATACAACGAGAACATATTTGCTTTGATTTTTCTAAAGAAGACATTATCAAATGTTTAAAATCCTCTAAATAGATCAAAGTGGACAGCTTCAGATCTTGTTGTAAGGTGTTCCAGGTTGCAAGACCAGAGTAAAGATGTTTTTTCAGAGTTCAGTCCTCACTTAGGGAACGCAGCAGGTAATGATGGCCTGAGAGCGCACGCTGTAACCGCACTGACGACGTGACATGTGGGAGGAGATGTAAGAAGGTAGCAGACCAAAGAGGGATTTATAGATGAAAATGAACCAGTGTGAGAATGTGTAGATAATGACGACCAACTGACCAGTGAGCACAGACTGCAGTGATGGGTATGGAAGTTACAACCAGTTATGAACCTTGACGCGCCATGGTAGACAGCATCCAACATCTGCAAGCAGCTGGCAGGGGCATCCAAGTAAATTAATAATAAATGATAAAACATCTCAAATACCATTAAATGTTCAAGAAACATTGATAGAATGACTTTAGCTGACAGTAGCGTTTCAGATGTAACAGCCTGAACAAAAGGTTTTATTTCTTCATCATGATTTTGCTTCTCGCACCGATGAGTCATCAGATAACTTGTTTCTTTGATATTCCAACATGAATTAACTGCTGATGTAATTCTCTCACAATGGCTTTGCTTCAGCTCACATTTAAAAATACATCACTTTGGTACATCATGTCTTTATAAAACATCATTGGCAGCATGATGGCTCGGTGGTTAGCACTGTTACCTCACAGCAAGAATGTCCTGGGTTCAATCCCCAGTTGGAACTGGGGCCTTTCTGTGTGGAGTTCGCATGTTGTTGTTACTATTGTAACATTCTTTGTCTTTTCTTTTATAAACTTAGAGGTATTTAATCGAGACAATTGATTTTTAATCATCTAAAACACTCTTTAGAGTTCAAACACAAAGTTTGTTGTTTGATTTGGTTCAGAATGTGAGATTTAATCAAAGAAAATCAACAATTTTCTTTTTTTCTTCTTCAATCTATAGACTCTACTACTTTTACCACACTGTAGTGTTCATGCTTTTATTATACAGTAAAAGGGAAAGCATTTGAAAACAACGTAAGTTTGATTTTGAACTACATTTTTCGTGGAAATGTTTAATGTTTCCAACGTGACTGTGAGAACATATTTTTCAGTCAAAATTAATAACAGTGACTGAAAAAAAATGGAGCCATGGGAATAATAATAATAATAATAATAAATTCATGCTGTGAGCGTGTTTTTTTGTGTCCCTTGGTCAGCAGCAGTACAAATTACAATAGGGAAAAAAACGAACTCATCTGATGAGTCATGCTGCAGGTAGGGCTGTAAATACTTTTGGATCTGCATCCTCTAAACCTTTAAACCCCACGTTAGCCTCATATCAACTGGGTGTTTATTGTTTTTGGTTATTTTATGTTAATTTGCTTTGATAGGAGACATTTTGGGGCCACTCTGAGGCTCTAGTGCACAAATATATTAATTAAGTGGCGACCATTCACTTCCTGAATCATTGATCACACACATTTTATACTTTTTGTCTCATTATCTGTAAAAACAAATAGGATATTGGTTTTGTTGTATTTTGTGCAAAAAGTTGCCACCTTTTTTCCCCTCCTGTAGGTTGAGATTGTGTCTCATAAAAAAATAAAAATAAAAACTGGTTTAATAATTAAATCAGAGAAATGGACACATCCTGCGTTCACATCTTTTTTTTTTAACTGAGTAAAAGTGGGAAAAAGTGTAAAAATTCTCCAAAATATTTCGTATTTGTTTTTACAATAATCCAGATTAACAAAATTAAATAGGGGTTAAAAAAAAATTCAACAATTTCAAATAAGCTTTGAAAATTTTTAAAAAATGATAATGCAGTAATTATTAGGCTACACGTTATAACTGTAGCCCAACATCTGGAACATTTAGTATTTTACAGTTTGTTGCTCTGACTATAAGTTTAAGGTTAAACGCAATTTCTGACTTTTACAATACAAAGCAAATTGTCTACTAAAACCTACATAAAAATACTTAAAAACACATAGTAGTCTAATTTGTTGTGGTTGCATCCCATCAGCGTGAAACATCTGCTTTATTCTTATTTACGTCACATAACTGTTAAAATATTAACTCTACTATGGAAACAAAACCAAGCGTCTTGTCCAGTTTACTTGAATTGGATTTTTCAGCATTAGTCTTTGAAGAAAGTAAGTTCTCGTAAGTTCAGGCGAGTTTTGTTTTGTCTTGAAGAGAAAGACAATAATCAAGTCAAGTCAGATTTATTTATAGAGAACATTTAAAATAGAAACTGTTACCAAAGTGCTTAACAAAAATAACAGTGATGATAAACAAGACGAAAATATGTTTTGATTGTAACTGCAGCCTATGTGATTTGGACTTCACAGTCTTGGTAGTGTTCACCTGTAAATCAGGTTTGTTTGTTCAATCACACCTGTAACCAGGCAGGTCTGGTTAGAGTTGTGACAAAAACCAAACTAAACGAGTTTTCATCCGCTCACTTCCTGGCCTTGATGATGAGCTACATGTCTTCCTTTAATTCCTTAATGAAACTGTGATGTGACGTAAAAAGTAGAATAAAGATTTAAAAGAATCCTGAGCACTGCCTGATTTAACTGCAACATGTTTTAGAAAGGATGTCTTATAGTTTTATTATGTTTTATTAAGGATTATTAGATGTGCATTACTACTGGTATATTATGAGTGTACTCATTGTTTGGTTGTTTTTTTAAACCTGTC